AATTTAGAATATTTTGAACGTTGTTGTTAGTATTGATGCTGGTTCCAGGATAGATGAAATTATCTACCACTTCAAAGCTATGACCGTCAACAATGGCGTTTGATAACAGGAGATGATATCAACATCATCGGCATACGCCAGCAGCTGCACACTCTTATAGAGAATTGTACCTTTTCGATTTAGTTCTGCAGCTGAAATTATTTTCTCCAGAAGAAGGTTGAAGAAGTCACTCGAAAGAGAGTCGCCTTGTCTGAAACCTTGCTTAGTATCAAACGGCTCGGAGAGGTCTTTCCGATCCTGACGGAGCTTTTGGTGTTGCTCAAAGTCAGTTTACACTGCCGTATTAGTTTCGCGGGGACACCAAATTCAAACACCGCGGCATAAAGACAGATGCTTTTCGTGCTGTCAAAGACAGCTTGACGAAGAGGGAGTGTCGATTCTCTTTTCACGGGTATTTTTCAAGATGTGGCGCATGGTGAATATCTGGTTGGTTGTTGATTTTCCAGGTCTAAAGCGGGCTTTAATCTTTCACAAAAAACGCTAGATAGAACCTTATACGCGATGTTGAGAAAGCTTATCCCACGGTAGTTGGATGGTGGGGTCTCCTTTTTTGTGAATTGGGTAAAGCGCACAGAAATTCTAATCGTTGGGCATGCTTTCATCCGACCATATTGTGCAAAGAAGCTCTTCGCCGATGTGTGTGAATAGCTCGGCTGGCAATCCTCCCCGCTTTGTTGTTCTTCAAACGGGTGACTGCTATTCAAACTTCTTCATGGCCGGGCAATGGAACATCTGCTCCATCGTCAGATTTTTGTTAATATGCTTGCACATAATTTCATTAGCAATATAAAAACTTCTTACCTCTGATGCTTTATACAAAAAGGAGCCTATAGACTTCAAGCGATATCTGTCAAACAATAGCAAAAATCGGCCATTTTTGGGTAGTGTTACCTACTAAAATTTGGTAAATTCAGCATTACATTAAAATGGATCAAATGCGCAAGTTAACGCAAATTAAGACCGCATTAAGACCGCTATTATTCTGTTCCGTCCACAGATCGACAAGGGTTCAATCGAAGAAACTAAATGTAGTATACCATAGTATAATTTTCATGTATGTACTTATATGTATATTCTTTCAAGCAATCAGTTATCTCCGTGTGTCTCCCTGTTGTCGCTTCTCAACCAGCAAACAGTTTACTTAAAAAATATTTCTTAAAAATAACGCATATGGCTAGACGAAATATCTCCTGTCATCAAACAACACGCGACACTCGCGACTTGGCACTCACGTCACTGTTGACAGTCATAGCTTTGAAGTTATAGATAATTTCGTCTATCTCGGAACCAGCGTAAACATCACCAACAATGTCAGCCTAGAAATCCAACGCAGGATAACTCTTGCCAACAGGTGCTACTTCGAACTGAGTAGGCAATTGAGAAGCACAGTCCTCCCTCGACAAACAAAAACCAAACTTTACAAGTGACTCATAATTCCCGTCCTGCTATATGGTGCAGAGGCTTGGACGATGTCAACAACGGATGAGTCGACGTTGCGAGTTTTCGAGAGAAAAGTTCTGCGAAAGATTTATGATCCTTTGCGCGTTGGCCACGGCGAATATCGCATTCGATGGAACGATGAGCTGTACGAGATATACGACGGCATTGATATAGTTCAGCGAATTGAAAGACCGTGGCTACGCTGGCTAGGCCATGTTGTCCGGATGGACAAAAACACTCCAGCTCTGAAAGTATTCGACGCAGTACCCGCCGGGGGAGCAGAGGAAGAGGAAGACCTCCACTCCGTTGGAAGGACAAAGTGGAGAAGGACTTGGCTTCACTTGGAATATCTAATTGGCGCCAGTTGCGAAAAGAAGAAACGACTGCCGCGCTGTTGTTAACTCGGCTATAATCGCGTAAGCGGTGACTACGCCAATCAAGAAGAAGAAGAAGAAGATAGAATGAGTGTGCTTCACCAAAAATTATCTTGTGTAATTCGGAAGAGGCATTAAAGTTGTTAATATACTTTGATAAAAAATAACTAAAAAAAAGTGTAAATTGAATATAATTAAGCTTAATTTATGCTTAACTATGCTAGAGGTTAATTTCATTTGACTTTGTTAATAACTAGGTGAGTAATTTTGAAAGTTCTAATGTTGCTTGTGGGCAACCTTGGGCCATTGTGGTAATAAATATATTTGTTTACGTCAGTAAGCCTACTTATTTTGTTGAAGGAAATGGGCGTTTGTGCAACTGGTACTGTACGTAAGAGCCACTTAAGCAACTGCGATCTTCTTTCAGATGCAGAATTAAAAAAGCTTAGAAGAGAGTCGTTTGATGTAAAATGTGAGATCAACAATAATATTGTATGTGTGAAATGGTTTAACAGTAAGCCAGTTCAACTTATATTCTCATGTCAAAGCCACGAACCCGTTGTGATATGCAAACGTTGGAATCCAAAAGAAAAAAATATATAATATAATGATGTTTCAAGACCTGCGATTGCTGCTGCTTCCAACAATGGTATGGGAGGAGTTGATTTGGCCAACATGTTCATGGAACTCTACAATGTTAACCACAGTTCAAATAAGTGGTACAAAAGGATCTTTTATTGGTGCCTGGGAACATCGGTTACAAATACATGGGTTTTGTATAGAAAGCATTTATATGTGACCAACCCAAAGAGAAAACATATGTCACTTATTAAATTCCAAACAGGAGTTGCAATGGACCTTTTACAGAGTACTACCACTACTACAATCGAAAAGAAGAGAGGACGATCATCGAATGTTGAAAGGGCTACCTCTATAGTATCCCTAGATACTATGTCCCCAACAAGTAGTCTGCCTTTCCCTCAGTCAAAAAAGTACAGGTTACTGCCGAATCCATCAAACTCTTAGCGTTATGATAAAATGGAACATTGGGTTGTATTTGGTGAAAAAAGACGTTGCAGAATGTGTAAAACAGGAACACAAATATCGAAATGCTTTAAATGCAAAGTAATTTTGGAGAGTAATTGGACCTAAAGAATTCAGGGATCATATTAGAAATGGTGTGATTGTCACTAGACTTATATTTCATAGCGGACGGAAAATTAGAATTCCTGCGTTTGGAGTTGACGAATCCATAGAACAATTTTGGATTACGTATAATATTATTTGTTACTTTATTTATTTATTTTAACATATTTTGTTAAGTTCAGTAAATTGTCGACGCAATTTAGAATATTTTGAACGTTGTTGTTAGTATTGATGCTGGTTCCAGGATAGATGAAATTATCTACCACTTCAAAGCTATGACCGTCAACAATGCCGTTTGATGACAGGAGATTATATCAACATCATCGGCATGCGCCAGCAGCTGCACACTCTTATAGAGGATTGTACCGTTTCGATTTAGTTCTGCAGCTGAAATTATTTTCTCCAGAAGAAGGTTTAAGAAGTCACTCGAAAGAAAGTCGTCTTTCCCGATCCTGACGGAGCTTTTGGTGTTGCTCAAAGTCAGTTTACACTGCCGTCTTAATTTTGCGGGGACACCAAATTCAAATATAGGCAGCTGGTTTTCGTGCTGTCAAAGGCAGCTTGACGAAGGGGGAGTGTCGATTCTCTTTTCACGGGTATTTTCCAAGATGTGGCGCATGGTGAATATCTGGTTAGTTGTTAATTTTCCAAGTCTATAGCGGGCTTTAATCTTTCACACAATACGTTGGATAGAACTTTATACGCGATGTTGAGAAGGCTTATCCCACGGTAGTTGGATGGTGGGGTCTCCTTTTTTGTGAATTGGGCAAAGCGCACTGAAATTCTAATCGTTGGGCATGCTTTCACCCGACCATATTTTGCAAAGAAGCTCTTCGCCGACGTGTTTAAATAACTCGGCTGGCAATCCTCCCCGCTTTGTTGTTCTTCAAACGGGTGATTGCTATTCAAACTTCTTCATGGTCGGCAAAGGAACATCTGCTCCATCGTCAGATTTTTGTCAATTTTATTTTGTTAATATGCTTGCACATAATTTAATTTGTAATATAAAAACTTCTTACCTCTGATGCTTTATACAAAAAGGAGCCGATAAACTTCAAGCGGTATCTGTCAAACAATAGCAAAAATCGGCCATTTATATGTTCTTTCAAGCAATCAGTTATCTCCGTAATGTGTCTTCCTGTTGTTACTTCTGAACCAGCAATCGGTTTACTTAAAAAATATTTCTTAAAAATAACACATATGGCAAAAAATATTTGCCGGGACAGCTAGCATTAAAATTGGCATTTGCTGCATTTGCTTTGTAGAACATAAAGAAACAAAAAATAGAGTATTTAATTTTTTAATCATTGTTTATTCAAGTGTAGGATAATTTATTCGAAATTTTAAGAATCAGTGTTAATTTTTCACTGAGTTAATGATATTCAATTATAGCACGCTTACAGTTGTGTAAACTTATATAAATAGACAAACAAGATCGGATTATTGTTATTTTGCTTCCATAGGGTAAAAAAGAAGAAAAAATCATATATATTTGACTATTAAGTTGATATGTGCATTTGCAACTATTATATAATATCATGATGTAAAATATAGTATAAAATGTCGAAAAACTTATACGAAATAATGTAATGGAAATATATACATAAATTTCGTATCTTCATAAGATTTCACGTATTTGACAATTCACGATTTAGTACATATACATATACATTTTTTAAAAATCTGTGTAAGGTAAGTTTCCAATATTGGGGGCCTTAAAATTGTTATCACATGGCGACTTACAGGAACACACGGCACTTGACTTCCAGCCACGCGCTGTATTATTATAATTTTGACCATGCAATAAAGCATTGGGATTAATTCGTTTTGTGTAGACTGGAGAAGTCTCAACATAATTAATATTCGTTGTCGGAAACTTAGAATGATATGGCGAAGTTGTCAACCACTCGCCATTGGCTGATTTTTCTCCGAATGATGTTGACAGAATATTTGAATTTTGGCTATGGTTAGACTTAACAGATATTCGTCGAATTTGTGTGTTGTAATCATTGTTTTGTGCTTGCTCACCAACATTCTCGAACTTAGCGATCTTGTCATAAGGTAATGGTAATATATTATAATTTATTTGTGGCACAAGCTGAGAAGTTTCTTGGTGTACTTGTCCACTGCTATTTGGTTGACCGTAACTTCTGAATTCAACGGGATTTGGTTTCGCCAAAGGGAAGGTACCAGTTCTGGGAAGCATTGTTGATGCGAAACCTCGAGATGACTTAAAGTTCCCGGGTTCCTTCATGGTTATCACCGGTGGTGGAGCATAACTTTCCAATGATATTTCCTTAGGTAAATAAAGCTCTGTTAATAGTAAAGATAAATATAAAATTAAACTTGAATTAGTTTTAGTTATTAAAATGTTTATATACACATAAGTATATAAATAATTGGACTCGGCTGAATCTTGGCTTTTTGTAAGCTTTTAGCTTAAGTAAAAAGTTATTTTCCTCTCTTTTCGAATTAAGCCCCCGAGATCGAAATGTAGATCTTTGAAATTGAACTGATATTAAAAAAGTGTTTTTAATTATTTTGTGGTAAATTCTGAAAAAGTTAAAATTACATATAGTTGTTAACCTTTTGCTCTTATTTCAATCGTGTATATATTTTCTAGAAAATTGGAAAATAAATTATAACAATTTTGTATGCTAAAAGGCAAATTAATTTTTAGAAATTACTCAAATTTATACTGATATCGTTGTAAAAGTGATTAAGGTTGCGATAATTATACATTTAGTTTATGACCCCGTCTCTTTGCAAAGTAGTTCAGTTCAATACCAAGAAAAACATTCGATGCCAGAGTTGAAGCAGTATCTAAATAAACGTTATATGTTTACATACTACAATGCATATGTATTATTTTATAAACGATCATTTCAGTACCTAATTTAGTACACGCTTGAATAGACGTTTGAATAGATACGTGAAGAGACAAATTTTAAACCTTCAATATAAAACATGACATGAACAAATGTCTTAATTGAAGTATTATTTTTGAAGAAAAAGATTTGGTTGTTAAGCTATGTACTTGATGAATATGTAAAGTATATTTGTAGTCATGACACATTGTTATTTATTAAGGCAATTCTGATTAACGATAGGAAACACATAAGTTACATTTTTCACATATTATTGACTAACTTTCCTTCATTTTGATTTTGTAATTGATGAGTTTTACGTTTACTCGTAATATCGCCCACCTTTCGATTTTCTCTAAACAGTGATGAGTATAATAATTACCACATCCCACTATATGATCTTAATGACATACTTTGAATTATGGAGGGAACACTTCTCCAGCCTGCTGAATGGCAGTGAACGCACAACGCCAGGAGAAGGCGAACCCGATTCCCCAATCGATGACAATGGAGCAGACGTTCCACTGCCCGACGAGGAAGAAGTTCGAATAGCAATTACCCGCCTGAAGAACAACAAAACGGCGGGGGCCAATGGATTGCCGGCCGAGCTATTCAAACACGGCGGCAAAGAACTGATAAGGAGCATGCATCATATTCTTTGTAAAATATGGTCGGACGAAAGCCCAACAATTGGAATTTAAGTGTGCTATGCCCAATTCTCACAACAGGAGACCCCACAATCTGCGCCAATTACTGTGGGATAAGCCTCCTCAATATCGCATATAAGGTTCTATCGAGCGTATTGTGTGAAAGATTAAGGCCCACCGTCAACAAACTGATTGGACCTTATCAGTG